TTTTTTTTTACATTTTACCTTATTTGTATATTTGTATAGTTGTATTTTATATTTAATCTGTATATCTGTATTTATGTTCTACTGTTAGTGTTATCTGTATGCACCAAGGGTCTGAGAGTAACGCAATTTCAATTCTCTGTGTGTATGTGCTGTACATGTGGAAGAATTGACAATAAAGCAGACTTGACTTGACTTGACTTGACTGTTTCTTTAATCATCATCATTCAAATTATGTCATGTACTTCCTTAAAGTTCTTTCTACGTTTCTACGTTTCTAAGTTCTTTTACATTACATCTTACTACAGTATAATTAATTTTTAAAACATTGCAGAGATCAGAGGATACTGTAAATCAGGAATGACCCACATCACTGTGATAAGCAGAACAAACACACTGAAATGAGCAAGATGAGCATGAGATCATGGAGATGGGACACCATGAAGACACTGACTTACTTTAACAATAATCAAGAGAAAGACAAACACACAGTTTTGAGCACAAACCTGCAGCGGAGAAGTCATCAGAGAAGGAATAAAAACCTGCAAGTCTTGACAAAAAATTACGTCCTGTAGAAGGAACTGCACAGTTTATTTTAAAGAAGTCTATGCCAAATAACACTGGAATTATTTCATATTTTTAATAATATAGCTCTGTTATTAAAAATAATCTTTTTAATATCTCAGTTATATCCCCTAGATAGCAATGTAACTAAACCCAGCGCAAATGGTGACTGACTTCTGAGATGTTTTTTCCCGAGGAATATACCCCAGTAATCTCACATGTGTCCTCTAGAGTTTGAGAAGAGATCGCAATGTCTCAAACGGTGTTCAGTTTCGCAAAGATGCCTTAAGTTAAAGATCCCAGTATGAACTTTAGCATTTCTCATCAAATTATGTCTGAGCAACATTACGTTCATAGCTATATACTTTTACTTTGTCACAATATGTCTCATTTATGTCTCCAAAGTCTTTCCACGGAAACACCTGAGACAAAGTTGATACTTAAATGAAACATAATTGGGAACTCTATTAAGTCTGTTGAGCTCTCAAGGTAAACTTTTACACTATTTGCTAGAAGAGCAGGCAAAGCGATGAAGATGGAGATGAAGCACACCTGAAGCCGAACAGAGAGATGTTTTGGCTGATGGAAGGGATAGAGGGGGTGAAAGAGCAGGTGTTGATCTGGAGGTGAGACAGGTAAGCAGACCTCTTCTTGGAGCTGCTGCCGGAGTTTGAGCTCATGCCCTGCGGCATGTCACTGTACAGGGAATCAGCGTCTCCAGGCTTCTTCACGTAATCACCCGGAGGCATTTGACTGACAAAATGAAGAAGGTTTGTTCTGAAAACTGAGCTGGGAAAACTTAAATCTGATCACTTAGAAATGTAAACACATTACACTACCATTCAAAAGTTTGGGGGCTTTTAATCATCAAATTGAAAAGAGACAGTAAAAGATTTAATGTTACAAAATATTAATATTTCAAATAAATGCTCTTACTCTGAAGTTTCTTTTCATTAAAGAATGATTTCTGAAGGATCACTGATGTGACACTGAAGACGAGAGTAATTTACTGTATTTCTGATCAAATAAATGCAGCCTTGGAGAGCATAAGAGACTTCGTTCAAAAACATTACAAAATCTTACTTACCCAAACGTTTGCATGGCAAATGTAATACATAGGTTAAGGAGCTTGTTCAAATCCTTAATTACAGAACTATGAGCAATAATAATAACCTAATAAGCAATAATTCAAAACGTTCCACTCATTCACACAACACATAAAAGCACAGTTATAAAATGGTTCAAAAACATTACAAAATCTTACTTACCCAAACGTTTGCATGGCAAATGTAATACATAGGTTAAGGAGCTTGTTCAAATCCTTAATTACAGAACTATGAGCAATAATAATAACCTAATAAGCAATAATTCCACTCGTTCACACAACACATAAAAGCACAGTTATAAAATGAAGAAAAGGGTAGACAAACCGACAGAATCTTCTGTGTACGTCAGACTCAACATACTGACGCTGTCTGTAGCTCCTTCACAGGGGAGAAATTAGCGCAAAACAATTAGCGCAAAACATCCAGAGAAAAGCATAATAAAAGAACAAATCTGTATATCATTTGGTTCTGTACATGGAAGAAGCTGTTTGCTCCAAAATAGCCCTTTGGAGAGTCTACTCATCTTCGTCTGTGTTAAATACAAGAATGTTTGGAACGACATGAGGGTAAATGCTGATAGAATTTAAATTTTTGGGTGGACTATCACTTTAAGTAAAGTTTAATAATGTTTCAGCTAGTGAGGGGTCTGTAATCATGTGACTCACTTGTATCCCCATGCAGAAATGCCTAGAATCAGTGCAAGGACCAGGATAGAGCCCGCAATGGCCCCGATGATGATGTTAGTAGTGATGACGCCTGTCAGAGGAACAGAACATTTAATGTGAAGAAGACACAGCAACTAAAAGTCAACACTGACCTGCAATCATCTGGACAAACCAAAACTAATCTGTATGTAAACATGATTTATATTTATGTTAGATACAGAGTCTAAAATTTCTTGTTTGTTTTGTCCAGTTGAACGCATGCCAAAATTAATCTGGAATAAAAACAGATAGAGACAGAAACGAGAAAAAAGATTTAGATTAAGATTTATGACTCTTTCTGTCCACGGAGGCTGTATGTTAAAGGCATCCATTCAAATCAAATCCATAAAACAGGGTATATGACAAGGTTTATAACAACACAGCACAGCAGATAAACACTGCCAGCTTTCATTCAGACAGAAACACGGAGGAATGATGGGGCAAGTGAACGACAAAACCACAGAGAAGAAACGACAACAAACAACAACTCAAATCTAAACTCACTGTCACTCCAGCAAAAGACATGAGCCTGTCCACAAAGAACGAGTGCATATAAACAAAAGCCATGAAACAGAAAAATAAAAAGAGGCAGTACTTGTTTACTGAACTGTTGTATTGAATCAATATCACATTTGCAAACTCCCTTAATAATTATTAAAAGCTGTCACTCTCCTTATCGCGATCTGTGGGCGCACAGAAAATGAGAGTGCGCGAGCGAGTTCTCAAGACTCAAAAGCACATGTAAATGATACGTTCCGTCATCTGTCATCGCGTTATAAGCGCGGAACC